ATGCTGGGTTGGTTAGTTGTGTGGGTTATTGCTGGGTTGGTTAGTTGTGTGGGTTATTGCTGGGTTAGTTGTGTGGGCTATTGCTGGGTTAGTTGTGTGGGCTATTGCTGGGTTAGTTGTGTGGGTTATTGCTGGGTTGGTTAGTGGTGTGGGTTATTGCTGGGTTAGTTGTGTGGGCTATTGCTGGGTTAGTTGTGTGGGTTATTGCTGGGTTAGTTGTGTGGGCTATTGCTGGGTTAGTTGTGTGGGCTATTGCTGGGTTGGTTAGTTGTGTGGGTTATTGCTGGGTTAGTTGTGTGGGTTATTGCTGGGTTGGTTAGTTGTGTGGGTTATTGCTGGGTTAGTTGTGTGGGCTATTGCTGGGTTAGTTGTCTGGGCTATTGCTGGGTTGGTTAGTTGTGTGGGTTATTGCTGGGTTAGTTGTGTGGGTTATTGCTGGGTTGGTTAGTTGTGTGGGCTATTGCTGGGTTAGTTGTGTGGGTTATTGCTGGGTTGGTTGGTTGTGTGGGTTATTGCTGGGTTAGTTGTGTGGGCTATTGCTGGGTTAGTTGTGTGGGTTATTGCTGGGTTGGTTAGTGGTGTGGGTTAATGCTGGGTTAGTTGTGTGGGTTAATGCTGGGTTGGTTAGTTGTGTGGGTTATTGCTGGGTTGGTTAGTTGTGTGGGTTATTGCTGGGTTAGTTGTGTGGGCTATTGCTGGGTTAGTTGTGTGGGCTATTGCTGGGTTAGTTGTGTGGGTTATTGCTGGGTTGGTTAGTGGTGTGGGTTAATGCTGGGTTAGTTGTGTGGGTTAATGCTGGGTTGGTTAGTTGTGTGGGTTATTGCTGGGTTGGTTAGTTGTGTGGGTTATTGCTGGGTTAGTTGTGTGGGTTATTGCTGGGTTAGTTGTGTGGGTTATTGCTGGGTTGGTTAGTGGTGTGGGTTATTGCTGGGTTAGTTGTGTGGGTTATTGCAGGGTTAGTTGTGTGGGTTATTGCTGGGTTGGTTAGTTGTGTGGGTTATTGCTGGGTTAGTTGTGTGGGTTATTGCTGGGTTGGTTAGTTGTGTGGGTTATTGCTGGGTTATTTGTGTGGGCTATTGCTGGGTTAGTTGTGTGGGTTATTGCTGGGTTGGTTAGTGGTGTGGGTTAATGCTGGGTTAGTTGTGTGGGTTAATGCTGGGTTGGTTAGTTGTGTGGGTTATTGCTGGGTTAGTTGTGTGGGCTATTGCTGGGTTAGTTGTGTGGGCTATTGCTGGGTTGGTTAGTTGTGTGGGTTAATGCTGGGTTGGTTAGTTGTGTGGGCTATTGCTGGGTTGGTTAGTTGTGTGGGCTATTGCTGGGTTAGTTGTGTGGGCTATTGCTGGGTTGGTTAGTTGTGTGGGTTGTTGCTGGGTTGGTTAGTTGTGTGGGCTATTGCTGGGTTGGTTAGTTGTGTGGGTTATTGCTGGGTTGGTTAGTTGTGTGGGTTATTGCTGGGTTGGTTAGTTGTGTGGGTTATTGCTGGGTTGGTTAGTTGTGTGGGTTATTGCTGGGTTAGTTGTGTGGGCTATTGCTGGGTTAGTTGTGTGGGTTATTGCTGGGTTGGTTAGTGGTGTGGGTTATTGCTGGGTTAGTTGTGTGGGTTATTGCAGGGTTAGTTGTGTGGGTTATTGCTGGGTTGGTTAGTTGTGTGGGTTATTGCTGGGTTAGTTGTGTGGGTTATTGCTGGGTTGGTTAGTTGTGTGGGTTATTGCTGGGTTATTTGTGTGGGCTATTGCTGGGTTAGTTGTGTGGGTTATTGCTGGGTTGGTTAGTGGTGTGGGTTAATGCTGGGTTAGTTGTGTGGGTTAATGCTGGGTTGGTTAGTTGTGTGGGTTATTGCTGGGTTAGTTGTGTGGGCTATTGCTGGGTTAGTTGTGTGGGCTATTGGTGGGTTGGTTAGTTGTGTGGGTTAATGCTGGGTTGGTTAGTTGTGTGGGCTATTGCTGGGTTGGTTAGTTGTGTGGGCTATTGCTGGGTTAGTTGTGTGGGCTATTGCTGGGTTGGTTAGTTGTGTGGGTTAATGCTGGGTTGGTTAGTTGTGTGGGCTATTGCTGGGTTGGTTAGTTGTGTGGGTTATTGCTGGGTTGGTTAGTTGTGTGGGTTATTGCTGGGTTGGTTAGTTGTGTGGGTTATTGCTGGGTTGGTTAGTTGTGTGGGTTATTGCTGGGTTAGTTGTGTGGGCTATTGCTGTGTTAGTTGTGTGGGTTATTGCTGGGTTGGTTAGTTGTGTGGGTTATTGCTGGGTTAGTTGTGTGGGCTATTGCTGGGTTAGTTGTGTGGGTTATTGCTGGGTTAGTTGTGTGGGCTATTGCTGGGTTAGTTGTGTGGGCTATTGCTGGGTTGGTTAGTTGTGTGGGTTATTGCTGGGTTGGTTAGTTGTGTGGGTTATTGCTGGGTTGGTTAGTTGTGTGGGTTATTGCTGGGTTAGTTTTGTGGGCTATTGCTGGGTTAGTTGTGTGGGTTATTGCTGGGTTGGTTAGTTGTGTGGGTTATTGCTGGGTTAGTTGTGTGGGCTATTGCTGGGTTAGTTGTGTGGGTTATTGCTGGGTTAGTTGTGTGGGATATTGCTGGGTTGGTTAGTTGTGTGGGTTATTGCTGGGTTAGTTGTGTGGGCTATTGCTGGGTTAGTTGTGTGGGCTATTGCTGGGTTAGTTGTGTGGGTTATTGCTGGATTAGTTGTGTGGGTTATTGCTGGGTTGGTTAGTGGTGTGGGTTATTGCTGGGTTAGTGGTGTGGGTTATTGCTGGGTTGGTTAGTTGTGTGGGTTATTGCTGGGTTAGTTGTGTGGGTTATTGCTGGGTTGGTTAGTTGTGTGGGTTATTGCTGGGTTAGTTGTGTGGGCTATTGCTGGGTTAGTTGTGTGGGCTATTGCTGGGTTAGTTGTGTGGGTTATTGCTGGGTTGGTTAGTGGTGTGGGTTAATGCTGGGTTAGTTGTGTGGGTTAATGCTGGGTTGGTTAGTTGTGTGGGTTATTGCTGGGTTGGTTAGTTGTGTGGGTTATTGCTGGGTTAGTTGTGTGGGTTATTGCTGGGTTAGTTGTGTGGGTTATTGCTGGGTTGGTTAGTGGTGTGGGTTATTGCTGGGTTAGTTGTGTGGGTTATTGCAGGGTTAGTTGTGTGGGTTATTGCTGGGTTGGTTAGTTGTGTGGGTTATTGCTGGGTTAGTTGTGTGGGTTATTGCTGGGTTGGTTAGTTGTGTGGGTTATTGCTGGGTTATTTGTGTGGGCTATTGCTGGGTTAGTTGTGTGGGTTATTGCTGGGTTGGTTAGTGGTGTGGGTTAATGCTGGGTTAGTTGTGTGGGTTAATGCTGGGTTGGTTAGTTGTGTGGGTTATTGCTGGGTTAGTTGTGTGGGCTATTGCTGGGTTAGTTGTGTGGGCTATTGCTGGGTTGGTTAGTTGTGTGGGTTAATGCTGGGTTGGTTAGTTGTGTGGGCTATTGCTGGGTTGGTTAGTTGTGTGGGCTATTGCTGGGTTAGTTGTGTGGGCTATTGCTGGGTTGGTTAGTTGTGTGGGTTATTGCTGGGTTGGTTAGTTGTGTGGGCTATTGCTGGGTTGGTTAGTTGTGTGGGCTATTGCTGGGTTAGTTGTGTGGGCTATTGCTGGGTTAGTTGTGTGGGTTATTGCTGGGTTGGTTAGTTGTGTGGGCTATTGCTGGGTTAGTTGTGTGGGCTATTGCTGGGTTAGTTGTGTGGGTTATTGCTGGGTTAGTTGTGTGGGTTATTGCTGGGTTGGTTAGTTGTGTGGGCTATTGCTGGGTTAGTTGTGTGGGCTATTGCTGGGTTAGTTGTGTGGGCTATTGCTGGGTTAGTTGTGTGGGCTATTGCTGGGTTGGTTAGTTGTGTGGGTTATTGCTGGGTTAGTTGTGTGGGCTATTGCTGGGTTGGTTAGTGGTGTGGGTTATTGCCGGGTTGGTTAGTGGTGGGGGTTAGTTTATTAGATAGCGGGTAGGTGATAAGTTGACTAGTTATCGAGACAATGAATCAATTAGCTGTATAGACTATACACGTGTCCTTGCTTTAGCTCATGTTGTCGACGGGTACGATGAAGAATCGCTTGCTGAAAGTTAAACTCATTTTTAGAACGATGATATAGAGATCATCACTGCGTAGGTTAACACAGTGATATATTAATTTATTTATTTGTCAGTAGAATCTACAAAGTATAAACTAGATCATATTTCTAGACTCCACCCACCCAATCAATCACACACAACGTGACGTATGTAACGTTAGACGAGTGAACCATTTATAGAGGATGTCATAGGCATGCTAGGGCCCAAAGTGATTTTCATTCGTGATGAGATTTCTTTAATCATGAGCTTAACCCTAACCATATTAAACATTTGCTTAAATCTAACCGTATATTAACCAATAAAGATGTGGTAAATATTTGGGAATTGCTATTTGATAAGAGAAGGGACTGCGTGGCCTAGCGTAAGGGCTAGACTGCTTGCCCGAAAGTCTCGTTCGAATCCGGGTTCAAGTCAGTAGAACGTCTCTGAGTCCACCCAGCTATGATGGGTTCCTAATTCACCTAAGGGAAACAAGGCGACTGGGCCTAATGCTGACCGCACATATAATCCCCTTGTACGCCGAGGTAATTTAAACAGATGAACTCTACTTCTTCTGCCCCGCGCTTTTTAGGCAGAGACGGGAACAAGATAAGAGCTTAACTGGAACAGAACTTAAGCTCTATTTAGAATACTATTTGGATTACACCAGAATAATCAAGGACGCCTCATTTACAAAGATACAGAGCCATTTATTTACGAACGTTTAATAAAGTACCTAATCAGTGGAACTCAAATTTAATGTCAACGAAAAAACAATAGTTAAAAATATAATTATTTAACTAGACCTATAGAATCTAGATCATTTAAAAAAAAAAAAGAAATTAAGCATGTCCCTTAACCCATTTTCCCTTCAACAGATCTGAAATAAAAAGCTGTTAGCCTCCCTTTACACAACGGGATCCGAACTCCGAGACCTACATTCATAATGCGATGCGAAATGACAGGTTGTCGCGAAACGGCTTTATGTGCGTTGGTTAAACTGCTGCAGCCCAACGCAGGAAGGTGTTGCTAGGACGAACGGTTACTAATATGGATTCTGCTTAAATGTTCAGGGGTGAGAAGAAATTTTACCATTTTCCATGATTAGAGACACTAGTTTCAGTAGTCTGCTATCGACATCGCTACTCCTGGCCAGTTTCAATCCAGCAGAAAAAAAAACAACACAATGTTCTAAATGGCGAGTCCATCGTCAAAGCTATCGCAGGATATGGCGGCGGCCGGGGTTCGCAACCCATTTCTTTACGGCGTTACGGGACTCTGTTGCCCTTCTTTATATTGTTTTTCTGCATTTTCCCCTGTTTTTTTTTTTGTAAATTAATGATCTAGAATTCTAGATTTTATTACTTTTTGATTTTTAAGCTGACTCTACACATTCAAAACGGTCATTTAAACAAATTGGAGTCTAGACCATAAATTCATAAAATAAAAAATAATAGATCTAGATTTTCTAGATCTAGATTTTACTTTTAGATCTTCTAGATCTAGATTATAAAAAAATAGACGTCTCTAGAAAAAAAAAATGTATAGAATCTCTCTCTAGTCTAGATCTTAGTACTAAACCTAGATAAGATCTAATACCCTAATCTAGAATCTAGGCATATTCCTAGATATCTAGATCTAGATGTCAAGGGCAAGGATCTAGACTAGATCTAGATCTAGCTAGACTAGTTAAAATAGAATCTAGCCTAGATTCTAGACCTAAAATATATAACCTAAATTACTTAGGCTCTAACTAATAAACCCGGAGTGATCTCCCCTAAACTTTCTCAAATATTCTTATATAACACTACGGGAAATGGCAACGCAGGATATAGACATGAATTTTAATCAATTTTTAATTACTTAAACTTTTTAAAATAGAATCTCGTAGAAAAAAAGAATTGCACACCAAGTGAATGCCAAACAATCTGTGCGGAATATTATTAGTACTTTATACTTTATACATTCATTTTCGTTTTTTGAGAAATCGGAAATAGCTTAAATTACTACTTCCGATCAACGAAAATTAATCAAAATTCGACAGAAGGCAAAAAATTATATCTTTTACTTATATGTGAAATTTAGTTTATTTATCTGAAAGAGCACTCAAGTTATAGGCTTTTATAAAACTAAAAGTACTGAAGTAGAATAAGTTAATATAAGTCCCACTTCCGGTTATCGGAAATCGCTGATATAATACATAGGCCTATATATGAAATTTCATCAACCGAGCTGTAACGGTGTTCAAGTTATCGTGTTTACACATACACACACACTGACAGAATTTCAAAACCCAGTTTTCTGACTCGAATACGCATAAAACGCCGAAATTTTAATAAATCTGGATTTAGAATTTTTGACAGATAAAGATAAGTCCCATATACTCTGTGTGTGATGAAGTACTGAGGTGTAAAATAATGAAGACTGTCAAAATTTCATGTGATTTTTGTGCACGATTACAATACTTCCTCTATACTCTGTATACGAGACAGTAAAAATGGCTAATAATCTAGTTATTCTAGTATAGATAGTTTATAAGATCTAGATCTAGATCTATTAATATTAACTAGCCTATTAACTTAATTAACTAAGTTATAGATCTACTATAACTACTTTTGTGCACGATTACATCACTTCCTCTATACTCTGTATATGAGACAGTAAAAATGGCTAATAATCTAGTTATTCTAGTATAGATAGATTATAAGATCTAGATCTATTAATATTAACTAGCCTATTAACTTAATTAACTAAGTTATAGATCTACTACTAGTAGACTTCATCTACTACTCAGTGGCGTCGCTAGGTCGGGTGACACCCGATGTGGCACCTCATGGTGTAACCCCCTCCCCATCAAATAAAAAAATGTATATATATTTATATATATATATATATATATATATATATATATATATATATATATATATATTTAATTCGAAAGAAACAAAGTAACATTTCATAGTTTTCTCAATAATTAGCATGGTGTCCCCCCCCCCCCCCCCCCCCTGTCTGGATCAGCAATTTAAAACTTAAAAGACTTTTCAACTCTAATTAATCATTAATTCAACTGTCAAAAAGCATTTTTATTTAATATTTTGCAATTTTTTGTCTTGGTGTCACCTGGTGCAGTCCGCACCGTCCTCGTGATGACTCTGCTACTACTAGATGTAGATACTAATAGATAACATTAGTTAATTAGTAAAAATGATATGTAGTATGTAGCCCTTTACAGCTTGGCCTAATTTAATAATATTATTTTAATACATTTTCTAAAAAACCTGGCATAACTGTCAGCATTGTTTGTATTGGTTATGCCTACACAAGAAAGTAATGAATAAACTACAGGCACAAAAAGAAAATGAAGTAATTGAGAGATGAAAGTGGCAGAAAAAACAGTTTGTGTAGTCACAGGAATAAAAATATCTTTCATTTGTCAGTCTTTTTATTCTACCTGAATAATGACAGGTACCCATAAAAGCTGAGTTGACTCATAGGAAAGCTCACAAACTTAAGTGAAGTCAGGATTATAAAATTTTACCACGGTTTCTTGATAAATTCATCACAAATTAAATTTACTATAACATTACAAGTTTTGTATCCTATAGTTTGCTGTAATTTATATTAATGTAGGAAGAATGTGTACACTAGTGATGATGAAAAGCCAGAGTTGAAGAATGTGTACATTAATGATGATTGAAGCAGATTTATAAAGTACCAAATTGTAAATTCTGCAGGTTGATGCCTGATCATACAGGCAGGTGAAGACAGGATGGCACCAACCCAGCTACTGGCCACTTACCTGTCTTAACAACTTGTTTGTCTGTGTAGTGTAAGTAGCTTATATTTGTTGGACCTCATAATGAAATATTTTGTTAATTTTGTCAGTAAACACAACCATTTTTGTCTTCCTCTCTCTAGAATCAGTAAATAAAACCATTTATGTTAATGTGCCTGGTTTAATTTTTTTGAATTTGTTGACAGCCATAATGGAGTTTGAGAACCGAGAAAATGGCGGCCAGGAGGAGATAAGCTCTCTAGCCAGTCTACTGAGGACATTTCTTCCTGATGACAGTGACCTCCCTTATGCAGGCAGCACAGAGCTCCTCCTCCAGCATGTAGGCAGCAGCCTGATACAGAGCACCAAAGCTGAGCCACAGGCAGCCAGTAATGGCATCTATTCAAGCTTCTCCTCCCAGACCTCTTCGACTTGGTTTACAGAGGTCACTGACCCATCCTGTCAAAAGTTGAAGGTTATCGAAGATGCCAATTCAGACTTGCAGCAACCAAGCGAGTCTGATGATGACGACAGTGATGCCACAATTGACGTCTCACTGACAGACACACCTAAACCTGTGGCAAAGAAAAGAGTGACAGCTGGCAACAAGCTGAAGAGGTCAGAGCCCACCAATAAAGTGTACGCTTGTTTTGTCTGTGACGAGAGGTTCACGGACATGAGCCTGTACACCCCCCACATGGTCTCACACTGCCGCGAAGCCCTCAGCATACACTGTAGTGACTGCAATGAAACATTCTCCTCCAAGGCCCAGTACACTTGTCATCGCAGGCTGTCAACCTTTGAAGTGTGGGTGGACAGGAGTAAAATACAAGACGCTGAGATGGTCAGGCCTGTTGAGGAAACCACTAAGAGCAAGGGAAGAAGAAAAGGTACTGTATGAAAAGTTCATCCTTATACATTGTATTAACAGTGATATATATAATATTGGACTGTATTTATCCTTATACTTTAACAGTGATATAAGTAATATTGGACTGTATTCATCCTTATACTTTAACACTGATATAAGTAATATTGGACTGTAATTATCTGGGTGCTGGGTATGGGCCCTGCTCCTCAGGGGCCACAAAGGATTAAGTGAAGTGGGTGTGGGCAGTACAGTTTTGGAAGAGAGAGCTTTTGGTCTTTTTGCTATTTAAATTAAAAAAAAACAACCTTTTAGGCAAGATAGTCTATATGGCAGATGTAGAGATACTCAACTGGTTAATTAATTATCCTGATACAAGTCAGGTGAGATAACCATCAGAGCTGGGATGAGCCCCAAAACTAAAGGACTTCCAGATTAGAAGTTGCTTTTTTCTTCTACTTAGTCATTTTATCCCATGTATTTTACACATAGTATATTTACCACAGTGCTGTAAGACAAGTTAGAGAAAGATGTGATGAGCTGTACAGGACACCATTCACCTGGCCAGTGCACCTACATCTAAACCATTTACAGCCCTGTGTTAAATGTATCATGTCTTGTTTACTTGCCTACAAACAAGCTGCTATCTTGTTTAAAATGTCTAGTTGTGTTATCCCTTGCCCAGGTCAGCTAGAAGAGAAGTATTTCTGCAACATCTGTGGGAAGGCTGTCCACAAGTTCCCATCCTTCATCAAGCACGTCCGTGCCCACAGAGCTACAACAGCCTTCCAGTGTGCTGTGTGTCAGGAGAACTTCCAGGCCGCCTGCTTGCTGCGCAACCACATAGACCTCCAGCATTCCCATGTCCTGCCTTTCCAATGTCGGCGCTGCCTGCGCAGGTTTAAGATGAAAAGCTCCCTGTCCACCCACCTGAAATACTGTGATGTGGAGCCTGGGAGTCTGCCTTTTGCTGAGGAAATGCAGTTTATTGACCAGCTCAGCCAACAGAGGTAGATTTGAACTTGTTTCCTTCATTCTTATACCTTATATTTATTTAATTAACAGCCAACAGAGGTATATTTGAACATGTTTCCTTCATTCTTATACCTTATATTAATTTAAGATAAAATATAATAAAACAAGATAAAATATTTGAAACCTAACATAATTTGCATCACATATTTTTAAAGAACTAATTAAGATAAATTATTGAGTACTTGGTGCTAGTCTAGAGAGTGTTTCTGAAGTCCATCATGGTATTGTTCCAGAAAGTACCAGGAGGCAGACAGTGAAGAGTCAGGCCTGTCCCAGTACTCCTGCCCCATCTGTACCATCATGTTTGACTCCCCTGAGGAGCTCCAGAAACACATGAGCTACCACGATGAGACCAAGCCCTACAAATGTAAGGAGTGTGGCAGAGGCTTCAAGTCCAAGCGCATGCTACAGAAACATTCACTGCTACACAAGACAGGGCATGACTGTCGCTGTGAAATTTGTGGCGTGCAGTTGATTACTCGCAGTGGGTATAATGCTCATCTACGAGGTCATCGCAACCAGGAAATAATCCAGGCCACGTTTATAACAGAGTCTAAACCTGAGGCTAAAGTAGAAAGTCCAGCTGAGCCAGCGCTAGAGATCTTACAAAGACTGAAGGTCCAGAGTGAGCCAAAGGTGGCGGATGTCAGTCAGTCAGGGGGTGATGAAGATCCCAGCCTTGTGAAGACCCCCAATCACAAGCCAAAAAACTACCCTTGTCCTTTCTGTGGGTTAAAGTTCTATAGCGGTGGTGCAAAGTTTCAGGCTCACGCCAGGAAGGTCCATAAAGAAGGGGACTTTATCAAATGTGGTCTGTGTAGTAAAAGTTTTTTAGGGAAAGACAACCTCGAACGCCATGTCAGGCTGCACAAAATATACACCCAAGTCTTCTCTTGTGAGGAGTGTGGGAAAAACTTCCGACGTAAATACGCTTTGTTAGTTCACAAAAAGATGCACTCGTTCAAGAAGTTTGTCAAGTGTGACATCTGCGGCCAGGAGTTCAGGTTTGTGTCTGAGGTGGACAAGCACAAGAACACCAAGCACAGGTACGACAAGGTGCTCAACATCTACAAGTGTAACATCTGTGGTCAGAGGTTCCCCATGTTGAGCCACCTGAGTGTCCACTGCCACTGCCACAACCTGCCTGACTCCAAGCCTTTTGAGTGTGACCTGTGTGGCATCTCCTTCAAGACTAGCACAGAACTCAAGCAGCACATCTTCAAGAAACACGAGGAGCTGATGAAGCGGCTCAATGATCCCAACTACAGCCCTGATGTTGAGGCTTTCCTCATGTATTCCAAAAACAAAGGCGCAGGATTGAATGGCGTTATAAAACAAGAACCTATAGAAATGGAAGAAAACAGGGAAGATAGTAACTCGCATTTAAGTGAATCTTCACTTACAGAAAGTAAAACTCTGATGGAGACCGGTGGTTTGAACGATGAAGAGATGAGCCACCTCCCCAGTAACGTTGACGCTTACAATCTGGCCACACGGCAGTTCTCTCACCAAGCTAAAATATTGAAACGCTGGAGCTGCGAGGTGTGCCAGAAAGCTTTTGCTTCCAACTCTGACTTGAAAACACACAGACGAACCCACAGTGGAGAAACTCCCTTTAAATGTGACTTCTGTGATCGCAGCTTTAAGCAGCGAGGTCATCGCAAACTTCACATTCAGGTGGTCCATACCAGAGACATGCCCTTTAAATGTGACCTGTGCGAGTCAGCGTTCCCCACCCGCTACCGCTACAAAGTCCACCTGAAGAGACACGCTGGGCTGAAGGAGTACAGGTGCCTGCACTGTGAGAAGTGCTACTACACTCTGGGCAAACTTAATGAGCACAAGAAGAAACGTCATGCAGTACAATGGGAAGCTGAGCAGCTACACAAAAGTTCAGACTCTGATAAAGTTTAGAGGCTATTTATCTGATGCCACATTGATGTTGAACAGTAGGGCAGTCCAACATTTTATCTGGCATGTTGTCATTTTGGTTTTAGCACTAGGGAAGATCAACTATTTCTTCAGACTTTTATACCCTCCAGCAGTGATGTTTTCCTTGAATACTCTAGTGATGTTTAGAGAGAGCCTTATCCTAGAAATTAATGCTCTCTGGCCAGCTTATGTGTTAACAAAAATGTAAACAAAAATGTGAACACTTTAAAATCAGATGATCTAAAGTGTTTTGATAAGTCACCTAACAACTTATATATATTTAGAAACTTGAAGAGTAGCTAACATTTTTAATCAGCTGATCTATAGTAGAAAGTGTATTGCTCTCAAAGTGCTATTGATACTACAAGTTTGGTTTTAACAAATGGTGCTCTAGTTTAGTTAGTCTACATATGTTGTTTCAGTGTCTGCCATCTTCTCTAAATTGTTCAAATATTAAGTCGTTCCCTTCATCTCCCCCAATATATGGCATCATCTTACCCTACCCTTCCCCTGTGTAGTATATCTACACCCCACCTTTTGGAATGTCATTTATGGATGACCACTTTCTTCAAAATAAAATACTTTGAACCACTATATTTATAGAAAACAATTTATTCTGCTCTGCAGTGGAAGAAAAACTTGACACAGAACAGCTTTCTTATGAGTCAAGATTGTTTCAGACAAATATATTTATTTCTTGTTGGTGTATCTGTTTAAAAACAAAAGTTTATGAGAATATTTTGTAGTACCTGATAAGTAAAGATGCATGTACTCAAGTAAAATGTCACTATGTCAGGAATGGATAATCTGTATATAATTATAAATGTCATTGTGTCAGGAAATGTATATAAATGTCATTGTGTCAGGAAATGTATTTAAATGTCGTTGTGTCAGGTAATGTATATAAATGTCCTTGTGTTGACAATGTCATTGTGTTGACCAATCAAGATTTGTCTGACCAAGAGTTATCTTTCCCACTAAAACAGGCAGCATCAGCAAACTTATAGCTGTAGCTTTAAAGTCTGAGAGTAGTATGGACAGATTTTTGTCACGGAATTGTGTTACATTATATGGGCAGAAATTTTTGTTACATAATGTGTTAATGATGTGACAGTAGCTTGAATGTTGTCTGTGTGATCAGCTACAACACAGCAGTAGATTCTGTTGAAATGTTCCTCTACCACTGACAGGGAACCAGCAGCTCATCCTATCACATTTGAATGTGTTATTGATGTGACAGTAGCTTGAATGTTGTATATGTGAACAGCTACAAGACAGCAGTAGATTGTGTTTAAATGTTCCTCTACCACTGATGGAGCCAGCAGTTCATCCCATCACATTAAATGTATGCACCTTTTATTTCCACTGTAACTGTAGATATTCAACCTAGAAAGTTTTATTTCTTGGATAGAATGTGTTGTCTAATCAAAAGTTCCATTTATGTACAGCCAGTTTTGTAAAGTGTGTACATATTCTTTTGGTGGTGTTCACCCAGATTTTTATGTCTTTTTAAATTTGAAGTCTATTTTTACAAATCTTTTTGCTTGTTAGTTTGGATGGTTTCTATTCTTTAATTTATTGCTTGTAACACAATCAGCATACTTAACTCAAAATAAAATTCGCAAACCAACTCAATAATTTAAGCAAAAGAAGTTGAAGGAAACTAAAGTAATTTAACATGAGTTAAGAATAATGAGAGAATGTTAAAGAGCTTAAAATATTCTTTTATCTTTTTAAAACTCCTTTTATATTTGTATTTTTGTTTTTGAAGGTGATTTGAAGCATAATAACTATGTAAAAAGCAATTTTGTGACTATTTTTGTAGAAAACAAGATTGTTATCATACAAAAAATTGTTGAAAAAAAATAAAGTTTTAAATTGTAATGTTTTAAAATCTATTGTGTTTTTACTCAGCTTTTGAAAACAGAAAAAAATATCTGTATATTCACTCATTCATTGAGCTGAGAGTAAATAATACTCATTTAAACAAACATGGTTAAGTCATGTGTATCTCTTGCAGAGTCATTATAATAGGATTTTATTTCTTGGTTTGGTTTTTTTTCGTAATTTGTTGTTACAGTTGTGCTCGGATGTGTATGTGCACATGTTGTATGTTTACACTGTGCTTGCTATAACTTAGTTCTTAGTGTTAAGAAAAAATGTTTTTTTTTTTTTTAAATTTTGTTGGTCAAAAGTGTCTACCTTTTTGCTGGCTGAAAGAAATGTAGCTCAGGTACTGACCTGTCTACCAGCTTGAAAGGACCAGTCTCATTGGCAAAAAATAAAGAAGAAATGGATGTTGTTTTGCATTGAGTTTGTTTAGGGTATACATTTTGCATGCATTCTGTAATTTCTCTTAAATAATTTTTAATGTTTAGTTTATTTATTGTTGATGTATGATCAAATATTGTGATATTATTTGATAAAATATGAAAACTTGATTTCAGTGTGAGCAGTTTTTGAAGGCAATGAGCGAGTATTGAGAGTTACATTGAATATAAGGATCCAACAATCTAGAGGCAACATATTTTATTGAATTTTTAAGTAGTTAACAATAAAACATTTTTATACCAATGGATAAATTATCACAGGAGTAAATGCAGTTTGTTTGTATGATTGAAAGACTGTTTACCATTCAAAAACATAAGAACAGATTGTACAGTCCACATGTAACTTACTGGCACATCAACATACATCACTCAACATCACATACACATGGTACATCATTCATCTTCTCAACATATCACATGGATATGGTGCATCATTCAAAATTGAACATCATACAGATGAGAATTTTTTTTACATCATACAGATATGAAATTGTACATTATTGAACATCTTATGAACATAATGATACATGACTGAAAATCATGGAATTTAACAATAGGCCTACATGAGTTAACTCTAGTTATTGAAACACAAAACCGTCAGGAGTTTTTAACTTAAAATGGAACACCTGTATGAGACAAAGCTAAATGTGAATTTCTCATTTAAATACTCCAGTGTCAGACACTTTATTATGTAGTAACAGAATTATGTGTATAAAAAAAAGGTAAAAAAAAAAATGACCAAGTTTTAATAAGAGTAAATACAATATTAATTAGAAAACCTATATTTGTGTACACATCTTGCATATGTGTGTGTGTAGAAACAGTTTGAACGCAACTTATTTGCTATACAGTAATGATCAGTAGGAAGTTTAAAACATACAACAAAGAACCCATAAATATGTGCTTATTTACATTGCATACAAAGTTTTAAAAATATCCAGATGACTTAGTTCATAATGACCAAATGGTCATTCAAGAAACCATTCATAGGTTAACTGGTCAACATGGGCAGACTATTGTATGAATATTTGGTCAGATATTTTGTATTGCGTTTCAAAGCTGGTCTTCTATGTTGGTTGATGGTGCTACCTAAAACGTACGATTATAACAATGCACCTACCATTATAAAAATAAATGTACCATTACTACCATTATAACAATGAACCTACCATTATAAAAATAAATGTACCATTACTACCATTATAACAATGCACCTACCATTATAACAATAAATGTACCATTGCTACCATTATAACAATGCACCTACCATTATAACAATAAATGTACCATTACTACCATTATAACAATGTACCTACCATTATAAAAACGTATCATTACAACAATAAACCTACCATTATAACAATAAACCTACAATGATAACAATTGGAATAGTGGCTACAACATTTGGCATTAGGTTAAAAAACTAGTCTACATGTGATATTTCCTACACAAATCAACTCTATAGCCCTCGATAATATTTCAAGATTTCTTTTTTTATATTTACAACATTCACGTCCACTAAAAAAAATCTACTTTATTTTAAGCAAAAAAAGAAAAAACCCCAGGATTTTATTCAGGCACATTAAAGTTAAACCATCTGCCTGCTAGGATAAGTCATACAAAATATTCAAGATACACTACCATGATCAAACAGGATAACACAGCCTATCATACAAGATAACACTCAAAATATCAGACAGGATAAGAAAACTATTACTCCCAATCTTATGGGATGACTTTTACCAATCTTATAGGATGACTTTTACCCTATCCTATGACTTTTACCAACTATCCTATAGAATCAGCTTTCCCATGTAACAAGCAGACTTAGGCCATCATCCTTAAACAAGCAGACTTAGGCCATCATCCTTAAACAAGCAGACTTAGGCCATCATCCTTAAACAAGCAGACTTAAGCCATCCTCCTTAAACAAGCAGACTTAGGCCATCATCCTTAAACAAGCAGATTTAGGCCATCATCCTTCAACAAGCAGACTAAGGCCACCATCCTTAAACAAGCAGACTTAGGCCATCATCCTTAAACAAACAGACCTAGGCCATCATCCTTAAACAAGCAGACTTAGGCCATCATCCTTAAACAAACAGACTTAAGCCATCCTCCTTAAACAAGCAGACTTAGGCCATCATCCTTAAACAAGCAGATTTAGGCCATCATCCTTCAACAAGCAGACTAAGGCCACCATCCTTAAACAAGCAGACTTAGGCCATCATCCTTAAACAAACAGACCTAGGCCATCATCCTTAAACAAGCAGACTTAGGCCATCATCCTTAAACAAGCAGACTTAGGCCACCATCCTTAAACAAGCAGACTTAGGCCATCATCCTTAAACAAGCAGACTTAGGCCATCATCCTTAAACAGACCTAGGCCATCATCCTTAAACAAGCAGATTTAGGCCATCCTCCTTAAACAAGCAGACTTAGGCCATCATCCTTAAACAGACCTAGGCCATCATCCTTAAACAAGCAGATTTAGGCCATCATCCTTCAACAAGCAGACTAAGGCCACCATCCTTAAACAAGCAGACTTAGGCCATCATCCTTAAACAAACAGACCTAGGCCATCATCCTTAAACAAGCAGACTTAGGCCATCATCCTTAAACAAGCAGACTTAGGCCACCATCCTTAAACAAGCAGACTTAGGCCATCATCCTTAAACAAGCAGACTTAGGCCATCATCCTTAAACAGACCTAGGCCATCATCCTTAAACAAGCAGATTTAGGCCATCCTCCTTAAACAAGCAGACTTAGGCCATCATCCTTCAACAAGCAGACTAAGGCCACCATCCTTAAACAAGCAGACTTAGGCCATCATCCTTCAACAAGCAGACTAAGGCCACCATCCTTAAACAAGCAGACTTAGGCCATCATCCTTAAACAAGCAGACCTAGGCCATCATCCTTAAACAAGCAGACTTAGGCCACCATCCTTAAACAAGCACACTTAGGCCATCATCCTTAAACAAGCAGACTTAGGCCATCATCCTTAAAACAAGCAGACTTAGGCCATCATCCTTAAACAAGCAGACTTAGGCCATCATCCTTAAAACAAGCAGACTTAGGCCACCATCCTTAAACAAGCACACTTAGGCCATCATCCTTAAACAAGCACACTTAGGCCATCATCCTTAAAACAAGCAGACTTAGGCCACCATCCTTAAACAAGCACACTTAGGCCATCATCCTTAAACAAGCAGACTTAGGCCACCATCCTTAAAACAAGCAGACTTAGGCCACCATCCTTAAACAAGCACACTTAGGCCATCATCCTTAAACAAGCAGACTTAGGCCATCATCCTTAAAACAAGCAGACTTAGGCCACCATCCTTAAACAAGCAGACTTAGGCCATCCTCCTTAAACAAGCAGACTTAGGTCACCATCCTTAAACAAGCACACTTAGGCCATCATCCTTAAACAAGCAGACTTAGGCCATCATCCTTAAACAAACAGACTTAGGCCATCATCCTTAAACAAGCAGACTTAGGCCACCATCCTTAAACAAGCACACTTAGGCCATCATCCTTAAACAAGCAGACTTAGGCCATCATCCTTAAACAAACAGACTTAGGCCATCATCCTTAAACAAGCAGACTTAGGCCATCATCCTTAAACAAGCACACTTAGGCCATCATCCTTAAACAAGCAGACTTAGGCCACCATCCTTAAAACAAGCAGACTTAGGCCACCATCCTTAAACAAGCACACTTAGGCCATCATCCTTAAACAAGCAGACTTAGGCCATCATCCTTAAAACAAGCAGACTTAGGCCACCATCCTTAAACAAGCACACTTAGGCCATCATCCTTAAACAAGCAGACTTAGGCCATCATCCTTAAACAAGCAGACTTAGGCCACCATCCTTAAACAAGCACACTTAGGCCATCATCCTTAAACAAGCAGACTTAGGCCATCATCCTTAAACAAGCAGACTTAGGCCACCATCCTTAAACAAGTAGTCGAATTGATTTTCCCACTGTAGCTTGGGTAATAAATCTACGGCCACGTTCTTATGGATGCAGAATTTATGGTGTGCTGATCAAAGTGGCCAGATCAATAACCCAGGGAAGATCATCTTGTTCAGTCACACTAAGCTAGGGCCAGATAATTTCATCACTAGATCTGATAGTTGATCATATGACTATAAGTAAGCACACATGTTAAATGCTTTGACTTAAAAAGCAGACTTGTTCCATTAGAGAAAAAACCTAGTACACACATAAAAAAAGGACATATTGATCTATTTTTAAAGATCATGAATGTCATATATACTGACAGATTAAATACATACATATTTTTGTTTTTCTTCTAAATACTTCAAGGGTCCATAAAAACAAAGATTATTTAATATAATTCTATACACATTTTTAACATTTGAAAACTCAAACCAGCAGAAAAAAATTGACTTATAGTTACTATGTTATGTCATCAAGCCATTAACTGAATATTATGGCATAAATTTAAATAAAAAAATTGAAGCTCCTCAAACTGTGACCATACTGCTATTAAAACAATTGTTTTTTGCTTGCTTGAACTGGAGCACAAATATTGTCTGTACTTTGATGGAATGCATTTAAATTAGATCATAACTGTAACATTGTGGTGTATTTGTTATGATATTATTGGAATGTAGTCACAACAATTTACTGCGAGTTTATGATTATTTTATCATAATGAAGTCATTGGAATACCATCCTGAAAAAATATATAAAAATACTATTATTTATTTTACTTTATAAAAACCAAACATTGTGATTATTTAATACATTAATATATGTTGTAAATTGTATAGCTTAAAAAATAGCAGTTGTTTTAAAATTTACAAAAGGGATTTAAAAAAAATAAACCTTATTGCAATAGATATCACCAAACATTGAGATTATTTAATACATTAATATATGTTGTAAATTGTATAGCTTAAAAAATAGCAGTTGTTTAAAAATTTACAAAAGGGATTTAAAAACGATCCAAACCTTATTGCAATAGGTCTTTGTGCCATCAAATTCTGCTAAAATTTGCAGTCTGATGTCATCATGGATATAGGCAATATTGTCATACATTGTGGGGTAGTCTAGGCCATGGTCATCTAGAAGAATGGTCAAATATTATAGATGCATTCATTTTTAATGACGAAAATGTTAGAAACACAAAATCTTTAACTGAAATGTAGGGTAATCCAAATGGCAAAAATGACAGAAACATATAATCTTTAACTGACATATAGGGTAATCCAAATGATAAAAACACAAAATCCTTAACTGAAATGTAGGGTAATCCAAATGACTAAAATGACAGAAACATATAATCTTTAAATCAAATGTGTAATCCAAGCCATTAAGGAGAGAAATATTAAATATATTATCTTTTGTAAGCTATCATCAGTGGCATGCATATTATTTGAAAAAAGTCAAAAACAAATGTTGACAGCCAAGAAAAAAAAAAGTTTTTTAATCATACACAGCTTCTGCTCTTGGTTGGAAGGTTTAGAGCTCTTTGATAAAAGTTTGAGCAAAGTAAAACACAACAGAAGAAGAATATCTTACCACCTATCAGCTTGGATTCATCATTGGTGATGCTCATTCTCTGTGTGTACACATACTCCGGGCAAGAAGCAAACCTTTTAGTTCTCTTCCTTCTTTTTGTGACCTTATTGCTGGGAGAGCTCTTAGAGTCTGAACTTGTCTGTTTATCAGAATGATGGGAGTCACTATCTAGGACAGCAACATTGATCTGATTTAGAATATTTTCTGCATCTACGTCCAATTTTGGCCAAGATGAACATTTGTCTTTGTCAATAAAAAATGGCACATTTTTATCTGGCGAGTTCATGTTACTGTAGTCTATGTACTCACTAGTAGAGGAACGACGTTTACGAATACGGGAGGCGGTTTGCCTCGGCCGTTTAGATAATTCACTGATATTGTATGAAGCTTCAGAGCGCGGAAGCTCTCTCATGATATTCATTTCTGATTTACTGAGATTATTGTTGACCTGATTCCTCAGAAGAATATCATCAGTTGGTGGTGAATCTTGTCTTTCAGAATCTTTCAGACTTTCATAGAAAGATGTTTCTTGTTGGCCTGAGTTGGCTTCAACTGAAATTTTTGACATAATTGTTGGAAGGGCTGTCTTTTTCATTGCTTTAGTGGGGAGATTTTTAGGCGGGACATTTTTTCTGCCATCTTTGCCCCTGGTGGGAGGAGTTGAGTTCTTTTCATCTGTAACAGATACAAGAGGGTTCTAAAAATGTGAAACAAAAGGGTTCTAAAAATGTGAAACTAAAGGGTTCTAAAAATGTGAAACCAAAGGGTTCTAAAAATGTGAAACCAAAGGGTTCTAGAAATGTGAAACTAAAGGGTTCTAAAAATGTGAAACCAAAGGGTTCTAGAAATGTGAAACTAAAGGGTTCTAGAAATGTGGAACCAAAAGGTTCTAGAAATGTGAAACTAATAAAGGGTTCTAGAAATGTGAAACTAAAGGGTTCTAGAAAAGTGAAACTAAAGGGTTCTAAAAATGTGGACCCAAAGGGTTCTAAAAATGTGAAACCAAAGGGTTCTAGAAATGTGAAACTAAAGGGTTCTAGAAATGTGAAACTAAAGGGTTCTAGAAATGTGAAACTAAAGGGTTCTAGAAATGTGGAACCAAAAGGTTCTAGAAATGTGAAACTAATAAAGGGTTCTAGAAATGTGAAACTAAAGGGTTCTAGAAAAGTGAAACTAAAGGGTTCTAAAAATGTGAAACTAAAGAGTTCTAAAAATGTGAAACCAAAGGGTTCTAGAAATGTGAAACTAAAGGGTTCTAGAAATGTGAAACTATATTTTGTTAATTTTGATAGTTACAAGGAGAGTTGCTCTGAATTAAACAGCTTTTAATATGAAAGTAACTTACCAGTTGTCTTTAGAGCAGATCCTTTCTGCAGAGCTAGGATTGTTGCCTAGGATAAAAAAATATATAGTACAGGATCTCCAAATACTAAAATTATGAAAAATTTGTTAAATTTTTTCTAAATAACAAATCTGTAAGATTTAGTCGTATTTGTTTTAGTTTTAAATCTACAAAAATGATTTTTATAAAAACCTCATGTTTGGCTACAGTATTTTGCAGCGTGGTCACTCTGTCTTCTGTTTTAATTTTATACTGTTCTAACTCCACAGTCATAGCTCTTTCTGTTTGCCTGGATTTGACTGGGAATTAAACCAAACTTTTAATATCATTGTCTAACATAAATAGTAACTATGTTATAAAGCAGTAAAACTACTATTGTTGCGACAGTTTAATTTCAAAACCTGACAATAGCCAAACAGCTGTTACCTTAACAAAAGTGATCTTCATTGAATAAATGTTTATACAATTTAATATTGATATTAATGTTTTGATGCATGAATAATTTAATGAGGAATTAATACAAACAGATGTTACACTATTGAAAAATTGACTAGAGTGATATCCCTTGGAAAGGGAAATCAATTAAAGATTTTCTGAATGAGGACAGAAATCATTTGTATTAAGTTGCTTTTAGAGCTACTACTGGTTTAATAAATACATGTTATATACAACGTTAGTTACTTTATAACACTACATAACACACTATGACACCTTATAACACTAAAGCTTCAAAAGTTAAACATACAAAACAAAGACAAATATACATGACCTAAGAAAATGGAGTTGACTTACTGGAACAAACATAAGGAATCCTCCAGAGTCTTAAGACAACCACGTAGTTGATAGAATACAAAGCTGGTTCACTGAAGGTCATAAAATAGAAGATGAGCTCAGCAGACAATGTGGCAATCACTACAAGAGAATCAAAAACCTGGCACAGAGGAGATAATGTATGATCAAGTCAGTAATAATAAAATAGTCAATGGTAATACAAATGTTATAACAAGGCAAAATATTTACATTTCTACATATATTTTTGTCCACAAAGTTAAAAAAAAAAAATTTCCATTTCAGTTGTAAAGCTTAAAGTGTATTCTACAATAAATTGTTATAAATTATTCAGCTAAACATTATAACATTTTCATTATAAATTTATAAAATTTCATTTTTTCTACTCTTCTCTAACATTAAACATCTTTTTAGTCTCAGAAAAAAAAACAAATGACACTACACAACATGTTTCAATGTTGTTGGTGATAAGAATTACAAAACTAGGATTCATGGAATAGCTGCTGGGTAAAATGGGACAACTCTAGTGAGAGATGTAGAACACAGTTACCTGCCAAGGATTCGTCACAAATGCTTTGTGTAAAGTTATAACTTTGAGAAGGATCTGGAATAACATTAAAAATGAAATGTGTTAAAATAACATCACCAGATACATTACTAGTTGACCCCCATTATAACAATGAATCCATTTCTAAGCGTTATTCATTCCTTTATTTAGTTGGCAACTTAATCTTGGAATAAAATAAGATTTAATCCTTATAGTTCCGCCTAACTGAATGGTACATCAGCCTTTCTTTATTACCTCCAGCATAAATAAATATAATCTTTATAGTCCAGTCTGACTGAATGGTACAACATCAGCCTTTCTTTATTACCTCCAGCATAAATAAAGCAGCAATTCCTAGACTGGTCAGACAAAAAATGGTGTCCAGTAAATCCACAATTTTGACATTAGGTGTAAACATTTGATCATCTTTGTTTTCATTAGGTTGTGTCAAGTTTCCCGACCCAATCGAAACTTCAGGAACTGTAGAAGGTATGTAGTTATGTTGTTTTAAAATAAACATTGATTTGTTTTTAAACATTGAAATAAGTAACATAATTAATAATTATTATTTGAACTAGAATCGGATGATTTCTAGAATTTAGATCTATTTTCTATTTTGGAAGTTGAATCTGACAGTTTAAATTATTGTCATTCATTAATTGATTTGGAGTAGCTTTTTTTAAAAAGTCATTTAATATTTTTCAAAAATACAGTTTGAGTTTAGAATAGGCTAGACCTACACAGAAAACAAAGAAGACAACTTTGATTAGATGGGTACCTGTGATTAAATGAAAGGTCAGCAGGTTCCTGCCTGTGATGGCCAAGACAGAGACGAGGGTCAAGGTGATGACAACACTCTCTAGCAGGACACTGTTTTGTAAACAATGACACCGACATGACCTGCCAAGGGGAGAGAAAGCAAAAAAAAAAAAAAAGTTTAGAATGTTTCAATAACAATACAGGGGTTGTCCATAAATGACGCCACATTCCATTTTTGAAGTGCTTACTTTTTGTGACGACAGTGAGACGATTAGGAAGGGTGGGAAGGGTTACTTCAAAATAGTGGCGCCATTTTAGGACAATCCTTAAGGTAAAATTAAATATAGTCCTGTTTCACGGTGCTATCAAAAAGATATCCTTTGGTTCATTTCCCATGTAAATATACAGAGAAATGATCTTCTCATCTAGGATATCTGAAAATGAAAACCATTACAGTCTGAGAACGAAGAAACAACTAAGACAGATAACTCTCACTGAAAACCAAAGACAGATAATAGAGAGGTTTGCTGAAGACAAAAGCAACAAACCAGTGTTTCTTCCAGATTCCAGACTTTTTCACATGCATCTTCCCATATCTGATATGTATTTGTATAGCCAACATGTGTGTGTGCGTGTGTCTTATGAGGGGAAGTGGACAGATGAAGTGATACCTGAAAGAAACTCTGATTTCAACATTAACCTGGACTCAAGTGGACGGACTATACGACTACGGACGTTAACGGACGAATTATTTATATACTTGTCACCATATTAATTCACGGATATGTGAATATGTTGGAAGACAACGAGCACTTCCGTTTTATATTTTGTAAACCGCACTTTAAATCCTGGTTGAATAGAGTGTTTCCTCCTTTCTTCTAACTATTTATTTCCTTTAAGTTAACATAGAATCCGTTCAAACGCCATATTTGTGATTCATTGATCAAATCACTTCATCTGCAGTACACTCTTTGTTCACTAAAGTGTGTGGAAAGGTCGTAGGTCGACATTCGCTAGACTTTTCTTCCATCTTTTCTTACACAGGCTATCTTGTAGCACACATACGAAAGTATTTGGGAGAGATTATTATCATTATCTTTTCACATACTCATAAGTTCTAAGCAGAGGCGTAGCGATGGGGCGGGGAGTACATATGTCCCCGGGCGCCGACCCTGGGGGGGGGGGGGCGCCAAAGTGGGTTTAAAACAAATAAAAGCTCATTTTAGCTGCAGTTTTGCATTATAAATATAAAAATAAATGGGGGGGGGGGGAGGGGGGCGCAAAATTGAAAGTTTGTCCCCGGGCGCCGGGAAGGGTATATATTTAGGCTACATATATACAATTGTATATGCGTATGTACATATTGTCCAACGAATACCATTTAGCCAAATGTTCACACCACCAGCACCACAGCTGTTACCATTGTACCAACGACCTTCACTCAACCAGCTGACCATCACATTTTATCTCCCAAATCCCCAATAAACAACGGTCATTCCCAGATAGTCCAGGAATGTGTGCCGACTCAGCCCCCGTCGTGTGCCCAGTGGTCAGCTGGTCAAGCACGTGACCTTGAAAGATAGGACCCCCACCACCCAAGAAACCCATTGTAGGGTACAGCAACAACACTTCAACCCCACCATCATCGTCTGTACGTCCCACTTGTCACAAGTTGATGTTTGCACAGCCTCGGTTTGACTTCCACAGTCTCGGTCTGACTTCCATTTATTCATATCGAATTTTCATACGTTACACACCCAATATAGATCGTCTATTACTGATATCTGTGATCTAGTGACCTATTAATACCAAGAACAATATTATTCAATAGAACAATGTGGGAAATATGTTTATCTCCCTCGGTGATCAGTTGCGTCCCTTATCTGATAGCTACTTGTATGTACGACGTTTTTATTAATCGCAGTTTGATACTGCTACTTCCAAACGTAGCCTGTTTACTTAGATGAAGATGTAAATTTTGTATGGTAGCCTACAGTTGTACAGTTAATTAAAGCTGTGCAGCATCCTGTAGCCGTACAACAGCCTGTAGCTGTACAATAGCCTGTCAACAGCCTGCAGCTGTAGGTCTACAACGAGATAGGCAAACAGAAACAAAGATGTAGAGTGTACAAGGAGATTACTGTCAGCTTTGTGACGGCTACCGGGTAGATATCAATAGACCACATTGGACGTGGTGACAATCATTATTGATCTGGTCTCTCAAAGTTTGGTGGATCTGTCAGAAACGTGGACACTGGTGTTAACACGATAGGAGACTGTGATATGATGTGTGTGAGTGTGTGTGTGTGTATGTTATCAACCAATTTAAAACTGTGTCAAGTGACGCATGTTCTTTGTGACGCACGTATTGTGACGTATTATGGTCACGTAACGTGATGCAAGAAATGTGATAATTTTACCCTAAAATACGTTTGTTTGTTTTGTCTGCGTTTAAAGCTATGTGTAATGTGCTGGGTTCAATGTGTTGTGTGTAATTTGATGTATATTGTGATGTGTGTAGTTTGAGGTGTTTAATTTGTTGTATATTAAGTTGTGTGTAATTTGCTGTGTGTAATTTGTTGTATATTGTGATGTGTGTAATTTACTATGTAATGTGATATGTGTACATTGCTGTGTGTGATGTGATGTATATAATGTGTTGTGTGTAATGTGATATTTAATGTGATGTGTATGTGTTGTGTGTAATGTTTTGTGTGTAATGTGTATTTTGTGTTGTGTGTAATGAGTTGAGTGCAATGTGTTGCGTGTAATGTGTTGTGTATAATGTGTTGCGTGTAATGTGTTGTGTGTAATGTGTTGTGTGTAATGTGTTGCGTGTAATGTGTTGTGTATAATGTATTGAGTGTAATGTGTTGCGTGTAATGTGTTGTGTATAATGTATTGAGTGTAATGTGTTGTGCGTAATGTGTTGTGTGTAATGTGTTGCGTGTAATGTGTTGTGCGTAATGTGTTGCGTGTAATGTGTTGTGTGTAATGTGATGTGTGTAATGTGATGTGTGTAATGTGATGTGTGTAATGTGTTGTGTATAATGTGTTGTGTGTAATGTCTTGTGTGTAATGTGTTGCGTGTAATGTGATGTGTGTAATGTGATGTGTGTAATGTGTTGTGTATAATGTGTTGTGTGTAATGTCTTGTGTGTAATGTCTTGAGTATAATGTGTTGTGTGTAATATATTGTATAATGTGTTGTGTTTAATGTGTTGCGTGTAATGTGTTGCGTGTAATGTGTTGCGTGTAATGTGTTGCTTGTAATGTGTTGTGTGTAATGTGTTGTGTGTAATGTGTAGTGTGTAATGTGTTGCATGTAATGTGTTGTGTAATGTGTTATGTATAATATGTTGTGTGCAATGTGTCATATTGAGAGGCTGGTGACAAGGCCACAGATTTCATCAATTCCAAACTTGTTTATTTACTATCATTACGATATCTCGCACTTTTTTATTACCATTTCCTTATAACTCTTCCATTTACTTCATCACTATTACAATCAATTTATTACCCTCTCGTGGTATAACGTTATACCCTCCCCTCCCCCTTGAGTATATTGTGTACACGTGTCAGGCCAGATAGCAGGTGTTGTTTGTGCTTTGGTTTGTTCCAGGACTGTGTGACGTCACCATTTCTTACCCACCTTGAAATCAGCCAAACTGTATGTATCCATACAATGATACATTGACCAGCAGTTTCCTTCACGATGGTCATGTTATCTTCAGACATCTCTGAGATGGCCACATTTTTAAATTGGCTGACCACATGTCTGTGAGCTTAAGTCGGATTGTTTGGCAAGGGGACGGCGTGGTCGGTTCAGTAAAGCTCACGGCTGCCTAACCGAAAAGTCCCGAGGTCCGCACCTCCCCCCCCCCTCCCGGGAGGTGACGTTCGATACTTGGGGACAGCAACCCACCTATATGAGATAACTCCAAAATCAAATAGTTTGTTCTGGGTTGGACAAAGGCTATGGAAGCAAATCCAGATAGAAAAGCAGGCTGAAATCAGAGTAAACGGACCGTAAATTTTTAATCGTGTTAGAGGAAATCACGTCCAACATAACAATAAAGAACGAAGAAGATGAAGAAGAAAAATATTTTGGTCAATCAGAGCTTAAGTCAGATCTCTTGATGTAAGCTTAGCTATTGTAGGACGATGGTCTACAATACAATAAAAACACAGAGCTTAAGTCAGATCTCTTGATGTCAGCTTAGCTCTTGTAGGACGATGGTCTACAGTACAGAGAGCAGTCCAGTACTCCAACAGCTGAACGTTTGCCGTCAGAGACCCTCTGTAAAACACCCACAACCGACCAAACATTTGTTATACAACCACGACACCACCCGTCTTACACCACTAAAACCCCCACTGATCAAACCCGTTGAGTGTATGGCGATGTTTTCTTGTTGAGTCAGGGCAGCTGGAGACCAAACAACAAAAAATTGGAAAATATTAAAATAATATTTCGCGAAAACAAAACCCTGCACCAAAAGAAAAAAAAAGTGAAATGTCCGGCTTAACAGTGGGCAACACGACAGCCATCTGGTCAGATAAAAGGATTGAATTTTATTTGAAAGAGGTGTCATCTTCAGACATAGCTTAATGACTGTCTGGGTTAGGAAAACTCATCGGATTTCAAGACGTGTTGAAATCAAGGAATGGGCACTAAACAATTACCATTTAGTCCTCGTTCATAGCCGAGTCTTTCTCTTTCGTAACTAATTTGTTCGATTTCTTATCGGGAATGTTTTGGTTCTTGTCGGGAATGTGCGGGTTTTGTCGGGAATGTTTTGGGTCTTGTCGGTAATGTGTGACACTGACTCTAAACCGAGGATATGTGTGGGGATGGGGAACGGTGGTAGTGTGTTGTAGGGTATGGTGTGGTGGCAGGATGTGGTGTGGAAGTAGTTGTGCTGGAGTGGTAGGATGTGGTTTAGTGGTAAGGTGGTAGGGTGTGGTGTAGTCGTAAGGTGAAAAGGCGTGGTGAAGTGTTAGATGTCGTAGGGGTAGATGGTGTGTTGTGATGTTGTGTGACACAAACGTGACCTAGTTGACGTGACACAAGCCCCGTGTGTGAGCACAACTTTGGAGAGTCACGCCAAGACCGGTCACATTGAGTCACGCCTCTGACA